TTAAAGTTGTTGATAAGACAAGGAGATTGCAGTATTTAAGGTGCCATCTACAGTGTGCATGCTAATTGTTCATTTGGACAAATGTTAGCTCAGTGGGAGCACCTCCTTACTTTAAGATTCATATCCAAACTAAACTCCTGGCAAGTTCTGTGAAGGCACAAGCCCAGACTGCTCACACAATTCAGGCTGATGTTAACTTCCCCTTCCACATTCACTTTGATGAAAGGAAAACTACAAAAAAATCCTTCTCGTATTCCGTTATACAACAGTAATAAGCAATTGGAGAAGTAGTGGTATTCATTATAGTATTGGAGACTTTAAAAGTGAAGGTAAAAAGAGCCTAGGGTAGGTGTCCCTAGAATTCTTCAAAGGCAAGGATCTAACAAGCATTTAAATTTTTTTTTTTTAGAACCATTGCCATAGGTCTGATTGACTTACTGGAAATTATATGGGGAATAAAAGTAACATATTCCATTATAGATAAATTCTTGCATCTTCTATACAGAAAGTAAAATTTAAGACTCCACTGAGAAAAACAAACAAACAAACAAAAAAAAAACTCCACCCTGTCACAATTATACCTATGCCAACACTTAAAATTTCTGGTGCATGTTTTATAGTCACATTAATAACTCTGGTAACAGCCCAAGGTCAGCACACTGATTAAAGGTAACCTGAAAGCTTAGACGCAAGTTACACAGTGGTGCTAGAAGGACTGCTTTTTGAACATCAACTGCTCTACAGATATGTCCTTTCATATTATGTTATCACTTTCATTGGTAGCATCAGATTCCCTGCTAATACTGGACTTAAAACAGAACCCCTGGGTACCAAATTTCCTTTTTTATTCCACTGTGCAAAAGATAATTTCCACATATCCAGAAATTCATTATGACCTTCATACTTTCACTGTCTGCTGGGATTACTTCTGAAGTTCTGAGACTCTACTCAGTTTCAAGCAGCTTCCAATTATATTATATAACATTACATTATGTTGAAATAATGTAGAGTTTCTTCCCTGAATTAAAATGGTATGAGATGGATGATAGGCAGCATTAATTCTCATACTAGTGAGAAGTATAGGGTCCAATAGCTTGGGAACCATTAAAAGGAAGATTGATAATACATTATATCAAACGTGTGCTAAGAATCCTTCTCATGATGTGATGCAGTCCACTGATCCTATTGATGGCAGGTCATAAGATGTTAGACCTTTTCACCTTGACATCACATTTGAAAAGTTACTGAGGATGGGTTTTAAAAAGCTGTAGAATTAACTTACTGAAAGCTTTCCTTTTCTCTGATGCCACTATAGCTACTAAGCTGCCAGCAATACAGACTTTTGTAGGAGAAGAGGTATGACAAAAATGGAAGGACCTCTAATCTTTTTTTTAGATAGTCTACTAACTAGCTTCTAGTTAAAATTTGATTTGTCAATAACTTAATTGCATATATTTATGTGCCAATTGGGTTGACTCCAGTATCAGTCATCTTAGAAAGTAGAATTTTTTTTTTTTTTCAAAGATAACACATCCCCATATTCTCCAAATTGTACACAGAATCATTTAATATACTTGGAATTGTTTGGTTTACACAGCAGGAGAATCTGAGCTAATAATTGACAGAAAACTCAAAACTATTTTTCTTAAGAAATCCATCCAAAGCAAAAAGTTTTATGATTTTATAGCATTAAAATATTTCACAATGTTTGCATGCACATACATATATATATAAAAGTGATAGTGACAGACCCCAAAAAAAAGAAAAGCCATGAACATTTCTCCTCTTCTGTGGTGCTTTTTCCCCTCACATAAGTTACAGACATTTCAGAAATAATCTGTACCTTTGTTATACTAGCACTAAACAGTACGCAGATAACTTTAAAATGAAAAAAAATGCTGACACTACAACACAGTAGAGCACTAAGACTTAGTTATTTAAAATCAAATATTATCTTACTACCAAAAGGATAATTTTGTAGAAACTGACTATATCAAGCTTTGTCTGAACAGTTGCTAATTCAGTACTGTTTAAATTTTTAAGTACAAGTCTTTGCTTATAAGCCTTTAACACAATTCAGGAGCCACCATACCTTTGCCAAACCTACATTCACTATGAAATTCATTGCATCCTTCTCTCTCTCCACAGAAGTTTTGTCACAGCTGAATTTCAAAGGATCTTCACCCTCTTGCCTTTGAAGGCCTGATGTGAATAGTAGCATTTGCTTTACCCAGCATTAACTCTAGTTAAATCTGTTCATAAGTACTAGTATATCTAGTAGTAGTATAGTAGCTTACAAAGAAAAGCAACAATTTTGTCTACATTTCCCCTACTTCTTCCTATGATAACAAAATAAAAGTACTTTTGCTGCTTTTATCGGTTGCTATGATTAAAAGTGTTCAAGAAGGTAGAAGAACTAGAGGACCCCATGAAACAGACTTTGGGGTTCCTTGAATGAGAGAGCTGGTATAAAATTCAGACTTGCATTGTTCCCCCAGGTTTTTGGCTCTTTGTGATAAAGGAAATATAGATTCACAGTTGTAATGATTATATAAATCAAAGATTCTTACTGACATGGAAATTGTGGAAACATGGAAAATTTAATATGTATAGATACACATTTGCAAGACGCTGACAGACCTGCAGGTAGCCACTAAATATTTGTTTCTACAGTCAGCATTTTTTCCTATAATGAAAAATAACTTTTTCCACCCCCCCACACACACGTCAAAAAAACACAGGATACTTCTCCTTGTTTAACAAGAAATAAGGTTCAGAACAGGAAAAAAGCAGCAATGCAAAAGAAACACAAAGTAAATTGATTTGGAAAGGTTAATGTTTCTAATCAAATTTCTGTCCATCAAATCTGCATTTCCTTTGAAACAAGTATACATACTAACCCATAAGTTGTTGAAGACTTACAGGGGTAAGTAGACAGATGAGGAAAATACAAAATATTTTCACAAACTGACACAGAAACCAACCCTACATATACACCCTGGCAGTTTCCAGATCAATGCCATTCCACAAAGATTTAATTCTACTTGCTTAAATGACTAGTTATAGGATTTGTAAATGAAATGTTATCAAACATTAGAGTAAATTCATGGATGTTTCTGCTTTTGAAGCCTCCTAAAAGCTGCTGAAAATATTAAATTCTTTTTGGCATGCATCCTTCCAAATGCAACGTTTATAGCAGCAAACTGAACCACAACAACTATAGCGACAACTCCAGCCTCCTCAATAACATGATGTGGCTGTTCAGGAAATCAGTGCCTTAATCAATGGAATAAAATATACTATCTATTCAAATAAAGTGTTTTGCCAGTCTAGAGTGAAGTGCCATGAAAACAGGAAAGAAAAATAATTGGGTTGGAGAGTAACATTTTCAAATGTGCATTTCTTTAATTTAAAGGGTCTGGGGCTAGAGGAGGGGGAGTTTTTTCCATTTAATGACTTGAGCACAGTGTGGTTTAAATAGCACATTTGATTTGGGAATCTATTAGCTGATAATGACTCCTTGGAGAGAAAAAAAATTGGATTCACTTATTACTGGTTTGATTAGCAATATCTGTAATTCCATGAAGTTGTAAGATAGCTTAGTATTAAAACTGAGCTATTTTCCATCACTTGCAGAAGCATAAACACAGACAGACAAGTTCCTGTGATAAATATACTCCTGAATTCTGTAGTACTTTATTGCCACTAGGATTAGAAAAAAGATATTTGTTCATGTACATAGAGCCTCAGTTTTGAAAAGTATTTATCTATGCTTCATAGATACTAAGAGATGGATAATAACAATCTAGCAAAGTTGCTATTTAAACAAAGAGATGAAACTCTTAATATTATTAACATATTATTAACATAATGCTATTTAACAAAGAGGTGCAACTAAATTTCCAATGAGGAAACAAAGCCAGTGTGCCAGTGTTTGATTAATGACAACACTGATCCATATAGGTAAAGAAACGTCATAAAAGAAACTGCCCTGTAGTGATTATAAGGGTAAGAAAGGGAAAAGTAAATATAATTAAAAGAAAAAATTAAATTCCAAATGTTGATCTGCCTTTCACGTAGAACAGAATAAGTAGTCTTGTAAACTAAAAGGAGAAATACTCATTTAAAAACAATGGAAGATCTTCCCAGCAAAGCTCAGTTGTATTTTATTGAAGTGGCTCTAATGGCCTTTTTTTAAACTTAGCACCTGAAATGGATATAACTATAGTAATACAGCAGAATTCAAGCTAAGCAGTGAGCAGTGTTTTAGAATTGAAGCACCACTCCTTTCATCTGATGAATATTTAAAGACACAACTGAAGGGACCTGACACCTAGCAAAACACACATCCAAACACACTGCCACAGAAATCCTGAGAACTGCAAAAGGCATGTAACAAAATACATGTAACACTGGAATAAAAGCCTGTGACCAGCATAAAACAACATCCACTCTCATTCAGAAGCAACAAACCGTGTTATCTGCTGGTCTGCAGGCCTAAAACCAAAGAAATTGCCAATGCTCCTGTCTGGCCACAGGCTTTGCATCACATCTGCAGGCCTCTAGCACTGGAGCTCATCAGTCCTGTTTTCTCTAAGCTAGTCTTTGGCTTCTGTTATCTCTCTTGAAATAGCAATTTTTAACAACCAGTATCATAACCTGATCTGTTTTACATTTAATGTAGCTGAGTGATTACATGGGCTAGGGTTTACCAGTATAACAATTTTGATATATTTCTGTACCTATCACACCTATTCTGCAGAGAAGAAGCTGGTATTTTATAAAAATGTAGGGTACAGGACCACAACCATGGGATGACACCAGAGGTATTAAATGTACAGGCACAGGCTGACATCAGACCAAATTAATTCAGTTCATAAAAACAGTCTGTTCAAACAAGTGTAAGCAATAGTATTCCACATAAAACACATTTTCGCATTAAAAATATAATTCATCCCTTTTTGAAATATCCAAACATTAAGACTGAGAATGTCCCTTACCTCCTCGCTTGTTTAACTTGGCATACCCTGGCACATAGCTGCTTGTCATGGATGATGAACTGCTGAAGGAGGAATGGGGTAATGCTGAGACCAGAGGTTCATCACACTTTTCTGAAACACAAGAAAACAGATTCACTTTATGCTCTCAATTACTCATATGTATTAAGTGACAATGTGCCCTTTACTTTCCCTCTGGGTGATAACAAATCCTTGTTATTTTTGTTCATGTGGAATGCATGTAGCTACACCAGAGCTTTTCAACAAAACAACCCCTAACAAAACAACCACAAACCAACAAAACAAACAAAAATTCACCTCAAAAACCACAAGAAAACACATAAATAAACACAGACACACACACTGACATGAGAAAATAAAGGCTTCAACCAATAACAAAATAAGGTAATGGCAATATCTAACCATGAGCCATCACTCTTCCTTAGGGATACAGCGGTTTAACAAAAAAGCCTACCCTGATATATCTAGGATATTTTTGGTGGCACAAAAAGCTAGTGCTAGTGCTAAATAAAAGTATTATCATGGCAGCTTTCTAAGAATTAAATAAGATATGCATTTTCATTTCCATAATAGAAGTGCTGATAAATTTGATATTAAAAAAAAAGAAAATAAATTAGGGTACATTAATGAATGCATATGAATTATCAGATACAAAAGATTCACTGAAAAAAGAAACCTATACTAGCTAATCTCTATAATTCAGTTGAGTACTTCACTTCCATTTTACCCCACTAAAGAAGATTAACTTGGTATTAACATCTAAAATGGAAAATATCAAAATCAGTATCTTAGCCTTCCTAATGAAGAAAAAACTGTAAATCAAATCTTCTTTTGTATTACATAAATTAGAATGAAGAGAAATGGCTTAGAATTTTTCAAATACTTAATTAATGTACTGCCTTTTGTAAGATTTTTGTAGGTATTTCAACAGATGGGAGAAATATGTAGCTTAAATTACTCATTTATATCACAGGTAAAACAAAAAAAGACCTTAGCCAACACGAGTAACCTAACTAATCCTTTCAAACACATGCACTGCAGCACAGTCTGTGCTGTAAGTGGAAATACCTTCAATTTATGCGTCTAGAATGCATGAGATCACCATAGGTGGTCTATAATAAGTCTAAATATGCATAAGCAGCATATTTAATGCTCAGCCACAACAACTAGTTTTGGTACAATTAAAAACCAGCAGTTTGATCAGACTGGATCACACATGGAAACCAAATTAATCCTACCTTCTCAAGAACTTTAGGAGGGAAAAAAAGAGGATTCTGAGTGAATCAAGTAATATATAATGAAATTCTCCTAAAATGTACAGTCTCATGTAGTGAAAAATAAAATTACTTTCACAGGAATAGAAGCTGAAGTACAGAAATACAAAAGAACATTCATTCAGGCATCAGTATTTTGACATTTAGCAATGAAAATAAGTGTCCTTTACAAATCTCTGAGTTAACAAACATTAAGAGAAAAAAAATCCACACAAGTACAAGCAAGAGTAAAGGGCGTCTGCTTTGGACTGAATTAAAGGACAATTCCAGTGACTTTTGAGTTCACTACTGCAGTATTAATGATGGAATTTTGACAAGGGAAGATAAATGGTTTCAAAAATTATTGTTTATACCACAAAGCAGAAAGATCGATTTCCTCCTTCCTCTGCTCTGGCTGCAGCAGAGCAGCACATTTGATCAGAAACCTGCCGCTGGGTTCTCCTCACACCTCACGCCGGCAGCAGCACACTGGGGCTGCACACACCTCTGCACACACCTGTGTTTTCAGATCCCAGGTGCCAGGTGTCACCGTGATATTTTCTGAAAAATCCCCTTGCCCAGGATTTTCTCCTGGGAAGCTGAGAAGCCTCAGCTTCTCCTGTGTTCTGCTGCTTTGGAATGTGGTTTTGGAGATTGTTTATCCAACATGTGAATTATTTTAACTTAATGGTCAATCACAGCCAGCTGTGTCGGACTCTGAATAGTCAGTAATGAGTTTTCTTTATCATTCTTGTTAAGCCCTCTGATGTATCCTTGCTCTATTCTTTAGTATAGCATAATATAATATAATATAATATAATATAATATAATATAATATAATATAATATAATATAATATAATATAATAACCTTCTAAGAACATAGAGTCAGACTCAATCATTCCTCCTCTGTCCAGGGACCCCAGAAACTACCACAGTCAAGTTGCTTTTATTTCAGTCAAAGTGCTACAAAGTTAGAGCTAAGAATAGAAGTGAGCAGCAGACTGCCATAACTGCCAACTTTTGTCCTTAGTGCCATAATCAAATAAATGCAGAACTACTTGATAAAGTTTTTTCTCAAGCATTTCTTTATCAATCAGTTTATTTTCTGTAGATCATAATGGCTTTTCAACTTGCAAACTGCTATTGCTGCCACTTCATTTCATAATACCTAGCTAGAGACTTGAAGGCATTTGCCATTAAACCTGTTGTTTAGGTAAAAACAGAATGAAACATTTTAAAGTAGAACAACACACAATCAGAAGTTTTTAAAAATACATAACACATTTCTTTATATCATTTTAGTTTGCTTATATTACGTGATATTTACCCGTAAGGAAAAAAAAAACATGTTCTCGTCAGTAATGAAAGCTAAGATTGAACATGTACCTTAGTTCTGTTTCCTGAGGGTTTTAAAATATATTTTGCAAAGTAAATTTTTAGGTTTATACAATTTTCTGCCACCCATAGCTTCAAAGTAGGGTGGGAGGAAAAACCTGCATCTCCCTAGAAAAACAGTAAAATGGTAAAAACTTAGTTACAAAAAGTGTGTTCAACTTATGCAATTTGATTTATTACTAACATAATGGGAGGCTACTGATAAACATGACAGATGAAAAAAAGCCTCTCCCAAGAGTAGCAGCTCATCAGAACTTCAGATCTTTTACTGGTTCCAGTAGCTATTGAGAAAATCCCCTCCTTTTAATTTGACAGCTGTTATATTTGTGCTACTACTGAAGATGCACAAAAGGAAATATGGGAAATTATTTGGAATGAATACTAGTTTCTAAATCATTAAAGGTCTGCCTTAACTCTTTGGATTCAAAAGAAAAGACAGAGAAGCTTGACTTAGTAAAAAAAAAAAATAGAGGGGGCATCCATCTATTTTCCACTGTGGTCACAATTTTTACAGTCATGAATATGCTTCATGTGATGTATGTGTGCTTCTGAAGTATTTAGTCTGAGTCTTCTGATTTCTTAATTTGATTGTAATCATCAATACTGTGGTGGGGGTTAGGAAAAATTCCTGAGTTGATACTATTTGCCTTCATTGTTTTTTAGAAGTGTAATGCTCTCCTATGTCTATTTTGACACACCAAATAATGAGAAAAAAATCTCTCTTTCTCATTGTTCTAAAAAACACAAACCTCCCAATCTGCCTGCTCATTTAGGATTTAAAATATGAAAAATTCACCATAAATATGTATGAATTACAGAAAAAGACTATATTTCAGATTAATAGACTTAAAATATTATTACATCTCATCATTAATTCATGACTTTAGGTCCAACAGAATAAAAGTTAAAAGACTGCTTACATAAACTAGTATTTCTAGCCCTATATGAAAGTTTCACTAAATATAGTGCACTATTTAAACTTCTGCCAGAATATGAAATACTGTTATACCACAAATTTAAGAAGAAAAAAAAAAAAAAAACCCCAAAAAAACCCACCAAACCTTGGGAACCTTTTGTTCTTCCAGCAGTTTTAGTTACTTCCTGCAGAATTCAATTTTTTACTTACCAGAATCATATATACCTTCCTGTTACTGAGATATAATAGCCTTCCCCATATAAGTCAATGCACTGTGCCCTGTTAATCAATTACAGAGCACACTCTCCTGCCAGCATCGCAGCAGCAAAGGAATAAACTCTCCTCCATACCATTTATCTCAGTGATATATTAACAGCCAAGGCAGCTTAGGTCCATTTAAATGTTAATTTTCTGAAGCAAAAAGACACTTCCACACCACTCTATTCTGTTTGGATCAAGAGAACTGATAACTTTGTCATAGGAATGATGACATTTGCTACTCTGGCTTCCCTATTCAGAAGAAAGTAACAAGTATATGTCCATCAAAAACAAGTCTTCTTAAGATTTTAACAATTAGATCAATGGAATGAAGTTCACCTAAAGTCAATAAACACAAATGTGAAACATCTGCAATCTCCAGTCTTCAAATTCCTCAAGACCTAAAGATCATTGAAACAAAAGTGTGCTGTGCACTTGCTCTGTTCTTACATGTTTTCTCAGGCACCTGGCTATTGGAAACCAGATAGCAGATGAGATGGATCTCGTCCTAACAACTGCAGCTTCTCATATTTCTGGTGTTCACACTCAACAAAACAAAGAAAATATATCTGCCCATTCCTTCCTGTTTTACAGTCTATTCATAGCTTTTTTTTATATCATACCCATCATGCTGGAGAACCTAAAAGAGGCCCATCTCCTATTTTGCCTGCAATTGCTTTAATTCCCACTTACTAGTCTATGAACTATTTGGAGAATAAGGGCCACATTATTTGAAGGAACAGCTGTTGACTGCAGCACAAAGTAGACCATATACACACAAACTCTCTTATCAACCCCATAGGTTATTAAACTTTATCCTCACTATACCAGTCACTTCAATGATTTTTTGATGGGCAAAGCAGAGTAAAATACCTTGATGCTTCACATCACAGAAGCCTGTTCAAATGCTTCCTGATCAATAAACAGGTCACCTGTAAAGTTGCTGACATATCTTATCAAAGTCGTCTGAGAAGATAAAAAAAAAACAATCTGCAGTTCATCTGTGTCTTCTTGACATTTGTATCTAGCAGTAGGTTAGAATGCATACAAACTATCTAAAAATACTAAGAAATGGAAAAATATACATTTATAGTTACAGGTAGTTTTTATTAATAATTTGGAGCTGCATCAGAAGGTCTCCCAGAAGCTCCTGCAAAGAATCTGTCAGGAAAGTAAAAAGACAGCTGTGATGTTTACAGTGGTTCTAAAAATTAAAAATATTTGGATACTGATAACTAACTCTTCAGAAATAAGTGATGGTGACTTACTA